CACACACAAACACACACATATTAAAATTCAAGACAGCATTGTTGGGGTAGATATCCCTACACGACAGTCTTGGATATCCTGGAAGTATCAGCAGGATGTCTTCCACAAGCAGATTGAATGCTCATTATCACATTATTTTGATGCTATTTGGGAATGGCAGGTTGAAATCGTTCATTCCTGCGTCAGTCTTAGCAACTGTATTTAAATCTATTCTGTATGTGTTTGAAGGCAGCAGATGAATGAAAAATTCATTCAGATGTTCATTCTTGTAGATTATGAGGTTATCTCTGAAACAACTATCTCTTTGATTTATTTGATGTCAGTGCTTCTGTTCCATTCAGGCTATATAGTGTGCTAGACAGAGTGAATACAGATTATGACAGTTGGAAACAGTGTGTGCAGAAGTAAAATCATGTTACTTAATTAAGGGAACTGTAACAGATGACACTGAAAAGACAACGCACAAACTGTACGGCTGTCGTTCCCTACCTGCACTTCCGTATGGCAGCAGGGGCCTTCAAAACTGATTATGTCTGGTAGCAGTTCTCTACTTTTTCTCCCAGTCATTTCATGTGCTAACTGCTCCTCGATTTCCTTCTGTTCAGATGGCTGTAATCACAAAAGCATGCGTGCAGTTTTCATCTTTGCAAATGTAATTACTTTGGAGGCGTCTAGGTTTTTAGGGGCGCAAATGTATTCAGAGTTTGTATTTTCCATGTGTCACATTTCTTTTGTAGCTCTGGAAAACTCTCAGCGGAAGTTGTAAAAAAAAAAAAAATGTGTCTACTGAGAGTTTAAATGCTGCGGCCGTCAGATTGGATCAGGATTTAAAATATCAGGCCGGCAGGCAAGTAGGTACCCTGTAGCGACAACAAAGCGCTCACATTCGGAAGGTTGATAAAAACAATTCGCATCTGGGCAGTGCTGATGGCCCCACATTTGTCTACTCCTTCCTGAACTTGTTAACTGACAGAGGCAATGATTTGAGTTGTTGAGTGATGGTTCGGCTGCACCTGGGTGGCAGGCAGGAGGAGGCTTGGAGAGATTAAAGATTGGGAAAGATGGTGTGTTGGTGTGCTCTGAATTGATGAAGGGACGTCTCTGGGGCCTCAAAACATTGGGAACAGGGGACATCTGACTGATAAAATGTCGAGTGTTTTCATACCAGAGTCAAAAACTGAAGACCCCTGAATCCCTGGGATGTGAATTATGATGACTTGAACTCAGACTTGAACTTGACACATGAGCTTAAAGATTAGCTATGCAGCCGTTTAAACGTCTCCCTAAATTTTGATATGAGCATCTGTCAATATTAAAAAGCCACTAGCTGTGAGAAGGAAAAAGCAAGACTGTGTAACTTTAATAATGGCACATTAAATTCCCCTCATTTCCAAAAATGTTTTTGAAAAAATATTTTTTTATTTCATTATTCATTATTTGTGACAGTTAGAGAAGATAGAGAAATGACTAAGACATATTAGTTAAACAGCAATATCTGTCTAAAGATTTCTAACATAAGCCTCCATAAGATACTAGTCATAGCAGATGATGTAGGGTTGTAACAGCAAAACCCGAGTGTACAAGTTACACAATCTCCCTTAAAAGCAGTAATAATTGATTTCTGTTGTGACAACATTGATATTACCTCATAAAGTTGTCACTGTATCCAGCCGACATGGAGCAACATTACGGTTCACTGGAAGTTGTGTTTATAGCCACCTGATGAATGTCTAGTAAGTTTTGGCCTGTACCACCTCCTGAGGGAAATATCAGGCTCTTTAGCTGCTAAATGCAGCAGCTGCTTGATGCTGTGCAGGTAGTGTGCAGTCAGTTTATGAGAGCCTTTTAACTGGAAACAGCTGCCCTCTGCGGCTGGAATCAAGGTTGATGAGAGCAGTGAGAACGTTTAAGACAGTAAAACGAAAATATTGAGTTGAAAGATGTAGAGTCCGATGATAGTTATCTGTAGGTTTGTCTATGAACGACCCTTTAAACGTAACATAGTCAATTGATCAATTGCTCATATACAAATATCATTATTGCAGCTTTAAACTCAAGTTGGTTACTGAGGCAGAAACTCAGACATCACCTCAGTGACTTGGACTTGACTTCAGGTTTGGTTGCTTCACTGCCATAACAGAAGATGTTCTTTGCTTCATCCACTTGACATCAGCAGCTCAAACACAAGCAGAATCGCCCATTCAGTCCTGAAATGTTGGATCCTAAAAAATCAAGACATTGGTGTATGTAGGACAGATAAACCTTTTGCTGCACATCCCTGAGTTAGACAGTTAGGCAGTTTCACACTGCAACACCATTTTTCCCAAGAGTGATATTGATGACAATAGCAATATGTTTCAATATGTCACATCCCACGTTATTATTAGTTTGTTTCTAATGTCTTTTTTCATCTCACATGCATGGCCACCTGTGGAGCTCCGCAGGGCTGGGTGGCTGTCTGACAGTAATAACCATACTAGGTCTGCACTGCCCCAAGGCACGGCCTTTGTGTTTGCTCCACAGTGGAGTGACACAGCTGTCTCTAGTATTTCACTGTCTGGAATAATGCGGCGTCACAGAGGCCAGATTGTCCCTCCTAATCTTCTGGCAGGCAAAAAAGACTGCCACAACGAATCACGCTTTGGATTCAGTTCTATGAATAAATAAATGATCATGGGCGCCCCAGAGGCTGCAAGATATGGAATTTTTTTTTTTTGATATCTATACGTCTTCGCAGGTGAAGACGTATAGATATCACATGCCGGTGCCATATGAGCTATACCCTAGGCTAGGCATTTTAAAAATGGACTGTATACATACATGCATCATACCAGTGGCAGCATATGATGGTAAGATATGAGTTAGGAGTCTGTAATAAATGTTTAATAAAAAGCTGTTTCAGACCTGGGCTATTCGCTCCATAATTGTTGTCATATCTCCTTACAAGCTGCAAGAGCATTAAGAGCCTCACCAGTACTGAAGAAGATAAACAGCATCTCTTTCATTCCCTTTGTCCAAAATGAAATAGTTTTATGGTTCATTTGGCTGCTGTTGTTGCAAACCGTTGTGATTATTTTTAGGCGCACGCTTGGGCTGAGTTTAACTTAAGGGTGTATGGTAGTATGACATAACATAACAGATTTTTAGATCTCTCTGCATTTTAAACAATTTTCAGCGAGCAAGAGGAAATGCCTAAAAATTCCGCAGTGGATTTTACTCTGCAGTGTTTCTTCAACTATAGGTCACTGTGTCTCTAAAACTGTCCCTTTTATCATGGGCCATTACATTCCAAGATTAGAGGTACCATTTTAATGAGCCTGCATCATAGAGCAATACCAGACTGATTTAATTTTGGACCAAAATACGAAAACAAAAAGAAAAGTCTTGTGTTTGTTACCCAAACTGTCAGCCATTATCAGACTCCACTTCGGGGTGTGATCACGTGTGTGTATGCTGTGTGTTTGTGTTAGGTTGTGTTGGTTATGGTTTAACGCACATTACATCAAGTCCCTAACTTCCACGCTGACCTCCCTGTCATTGTCATGTTGACCCTTTTGATTTTTTTTTTGTCTTTTGTTGGCAATGATAGATAGCGTGGAGGGTGAACTTATTTGCGATGAAATGGGTCTAGCTGAAATGTGCGCATTAAAGAACTATCGATTATCTATTTTCTGCACACCATTTATAATTGTATGGATTACCTTTCCGTGGTTGCTTTTCGCTTTAGTACTTACAAGTCTACTAGAGAAACTCCAGGGTGTTAAAGGTTGCGGTATTCACAGCTGTGAAATACACCTTGTTTACATTTTTAGGAAGATTACAGGATTAGAA